GAACAACATACAGTGCACATAAATATTAATGTATTTAAAATTTATTTTTAATAAACATTCCATTTTAGCATAGTAACACAAGACACCAAGATGCCTAATGTAAAAATAAACTTGAACTTTTATTATCCTCTCTAAATTTGTGGAAACGCATACAGGTTAATAAAGAGGGCTTACTTTGAGTGTGAAGCCAAAAATGATATAATCTAATTTAAAGTAACAGCAAAAACCATCAGAACAAAAACAACACTTCTATCCAGAACAGTTCCTCTGCTGAGTCTAGATAAGAAAAAACACTTCTTCAATTCAGATGAATAAATATTTTATATTTATAAATAGAACAAATACTCAAAGTACCCAAACCTTTTTTCTTGCAACCAATCATGATTGCAATGAAATAAAGATTCAAAACAAGTTTAAGTGCAATCTCCTAACTTAAGTGTGATGTCAGTTGCTCTCAAAATTTGAAAGCATCAATTCTTGCAAATAATAAGGCATAATTTACAGCAAAGAATGTCAGCTGATTGGTAGAAACTGATCTACTGTACAACACATATTGGTTTGGGAAAGCTGATCTGATGTCATTTGCGAGACAGGTCTGTTTTGAATTTCAAGATATTTGGTACTACAGTATATGCATAGGGATTAAAAGATGTCATCTCCACATTTCAAAGTTATATACTGCATTAGTTTTTATTTCTTTTTATTCATTTACCGTACATTAAGTCAACAAGCTCCTAATGGCTTTCTATTTTGCAGTCTATTTCTGAGGAATTGTCTCGTGTGCTATGTACTCAGAGTACTGATGGGTACATAGTACTGATCTATGGATCTTTACACAACCACCAGTCAAAACAGATAAACAACATGCTTCAACATTATTTCAAAAATCATATACAAGGCTCCTTATTTTTTTAGCTTTCAATGCACCATAAAAGCAAATGAGGGATGCTTTTTACAAAATGCCTTCTGTGTTTTAGATCACTTCTGTGCAAAAATTCCTGAAACAACAGTTTAAAAACAACAGATTCAGGACTGATTTTGTCATACTGTATAACATGCTGCTGAAATACCATCATGATATAAGATCTGATGAAGTAATGATATGACATCAGTGACCTGCTGAAAGCCCTGAGCTTAGCCTTAGTTAGAGCTCAGTGATGGTCCAACAACATTTATTCATAAAAGGCCCAACATGGGGTAGACAATCCAGATACACCAGGACACAGACTAAAATCTCAAACCAAAGTCTTTGAGTGGGAAGCTGTGTCGCCATGCGTTAGCTGCAAAGTTCAAAAAGTTAATTCCTCGCTACAAAATAGAAAGGAGAAACAACGCTACAGCTGCTGAGTGTTCTTCAGGTGTGAGCTCTGGTCATGCCAAATTCTTGTGGTTCTCCATTCTATTCTTCAGTGTTCAATTAACCTTTCCGTATTTTATATCTTTGCCTACCACATATCATCACATTTTTGTACAGAGCATACTGTCTAAAAATAGAATAAACCATATTTTAGGAGTACATTTTATTCAAACCCTATTTATGGTGAAGCGGCTCATAAAATCAATGAATAAAGTTAGAAACGTATACTCAGACAAATGCTAATAAGGTACTATAAAATTATTAAAAATTAATTTAATGATTTAAATTAACAAATGATTCCTTCATACTTTGTTTTGATAAAAGCTTTTCCTGAAAATTACACAATATGGGGCATGAGGTATACTGCATTCCTTTCTTGCTTGTGGGCTTATTTTAAAATGTGGCGTGGGGTCATTTAAAGCTCTCGTCATATCATTAGATGGGTCACATTTTGGTTGTTTCCTGCTTTCCAGGAGAGTTGTTTATTTCTGCAACAAATGACCATTTTCTTGTGCTTTAAAACAGGATGGTTATTAAGCCAAACATACAGGTGGAGCAGAAGGAGCTACTTATCATGGTCTACTTATTCAGCAGACCTACACAGAATAATAAAATGCCATTTGATTCATCCAAAAGGGGGTAATTTTCTTTGCAAAACACAAACCTCAACACCTTCAGCAATCAGTAGGATAGAACGAGACATTCATACATTATCACTACTGCATGAGGATTAGATCCAACATCAACCAAGAAACTTCTGATTATAGTGAGATCGACACAAGTACACATTTAAATCATTTGCAAAAAAGCACTGGTCTTCTCAAGCTAAAAGAAGCAATCTCTGACCCTGCAATTCCCAACAAACACATAGTATCCACAGAGTAGCCCCTTGTACAGTGGTTCCATACTACAGATTGAACCACAGAATGAGAACAACTAATTTTAAGGATATTGTTGGGAATATATCAGTAAATAAAAGAAGCCATAACAGAAAGAAACATCATACCTTAATAAATCAGCATCTAAGACGAATAATAAATGAGATATCCAGTTCTGCTTTTATTATTCAGCCATGAACTTCTATAAACTGAGAGGAAAAAGTACAAGATATATTGAGAGTCTTTATGATATTTCCATCACTAGAGACAGCTAAGCCCCATGAGGGATAATTAGTGGACAAAAACATTGACTAACACAGCCTGACTAACAGAATATGACCAACATAAGGTCAGTACCTGTAGCACTAAATGAAGAGACATGCTGAATAATGCAAACATGTTTCAGCAACTCAGGTTTTAAGAAGGCAGATAATATGACCTTGTCAAGATAACCAGAACATTTAGCTTTTCAGAGTGTTTAGTTACTGTTGCAGAAGCAACACGTCCAAGAACTCCTGTATATCTCCATATCCCCTGCCACGCAGCAATGATTAAATTGAAGAACAAAGCAGATTTTTCCAAACTGACAGTCCTGTAGCTAAACTAAATATTCTTAAAAACAGTCCTCTAAAAACAGAGTGTTCAGTGGGTTACCTCCTGGGGTGGGGGGCGCAGAGGAAATAGTTATAGTTGTTCTGCATAATGTTTTTGTTTTCAATGGTTTCTTTGTCCCATAAATTCTAAAAGAGGAGCTCTAAAGGGTGAGCATGCAGAGAATATAGCAAGGGTTACTGAATGGTAGTGAAAGTCAGACTAGTTACAGTACCAGTCACAATAAAGCTCCACATTGAATGGAGCATGACACACAGCAGTGACAGCAGTATGTCTACTGAAAACAAGTCTGGCACCCAGCAGAAAAAAAGAAGTTAAATGTATTTTACAAAAGTACAACATTCATTCAGTGAACGTACTATGTGTTCATATAAATAAATAATTCAGACAAAGCAGAAAGACTTAATTTTATATTAAGAAAATGTGATCATGAGGTGGCAATTACAAACTATGAGCAGGTATATACTGTAAATAATATATAACAAAAAGAATGCATGCATTGTATGAAATGTTAACTGATTCATACATTACTTGCAAGAATTTGACAAAATTACAGAACCTTACAAAAAAATCTACATTTCAGAAAATCCAACAAAACATCTTTGGGATTTTTCTAGCTGGAAAACACATTCAAGCCATGGCATACCCATTCAAAATTCTCCATGACCAGAGACCTTACAAATGAAGGTACTGATTGAAACAACCCTTTGTTCTTGTACTAAAAGGCCTTAAATGTGTCGAACATAAAAAGAGCAGTACATGGCCTTCGATCAGCGGATTAAATTCCACTGCCGAGCACAGATATTTCTATCACTGTTCCGTAGGCTCAACCTGAGTCATTAGGATCTTTTGAGACAGCTTCTCTGTCATCTGACAGCTGCCTAGGAAACAGCTAGTGGAGTCTGCAGGAGTTTCACACTAAAGCCAGAGAGCTTTCACAGAGAACTCAAATATGTGGAATCATAAGAGGTATATTTGCACAAAGCAGGTTTAAACAGCTTTTTGTACATACTGAAGGTACACAATTACCATCTTTTGTAAAATATCTACCAATACAAACCTAGGGATCTTTTTTCCTTATTGCAGACATTTATTGAAGGTTCAAGCGATATCTGTTTAATTAGCAGCTTGGACTTTGACAAATTTATACCCAATTTACGTTGTGAACAACCGTCATCATCAAATGGGTTATAAAAGCCTCTCGAGGAATGTATTAAGCTTTTCATTTCATCTTTAAAACGTAACCTGAATGGTCAATTGCAATCTCATCTCAATCAGCAGCATGATCTACAACAGCAAGATTTGCAACCCTAATGTACTGTAATTTCACTTTCTTGAGAAATAATTGTGGTTATCATTCCCTCACATCAACGTATTGTACAACAAGCTGAAAGGATCTGAAATGCAGCCCAGGATAGTAACGTAACCTCAAGCAGGAAATCTTTTCACACAGATGAAAAAACACAAATGTACCATGAACATGGCTGTCAATGGTGAATACATTCTTTACCAACAGGCTTAGTGAATCCTACAGTTCAAATCCAATGTCATTTTCCACCATTCAGTGCATCTTCCATATGAGTGAACAATGGACTAATGACAGACCAGTAGTGGACAGATGAGATTTTTGTTCTGCCTCTCTTCCAAAGGACTCTATTGCATGTGCTAATATAAATCCTTCATAAACTGAAGTTTTTGTGTTTGAGCTTCTCCAATGACATGATCTGTGATCTATTCAAAGTCATGGACTTAAGTTATTGACAAGATGAGTTACTGCCATGAGGTCCCAGCGAACCGGCCAGCGTATGTCATTTTAAAAGACATGCTCATGTTCTGGTTACCACCAACCCCAGCACAAAAGAATAAATTCAGAGTCATACCTCTCTGACAGCCTTCAAAATCGCTGGCAATCAAGAACTTGGAAAAGCCTGGCTACTCATATCACAGCTTGGACATCACTTGAGAAAAGACATACTTACAATATGTACCAGAACACTTTTTTCTATTGAACATTGAATATATCATTTATGCCAAGGTTTATCTATGCTAACTCCCATAAATATAAAATGGCAGTACAGAAACATTGATTTCACAGATTGATAGGCAATGCAAACGGTTTACATGTAATTTGATTTAGGCAGTCATGTACCTACCTTATATCCAGGTCCCAGCTGATGTATTGCGAATATCTGTGCTGGATTGAGCGCTTCACTGAACACATAGATGGCTCCTAGCTGCCCGCAGAACACTCTGTTAGCATCAGCTGTCTCTGAAGACCCCAGAAAGCATTTATCATAACTCTGAAATAAGAATAGATGGGAAAAAAAAAATAATAAAAGCCATGTATTTATAACACAATCCCAGAAAAAAAACCCAGACTTCAAAGTAAACCTTAGAGGATGCAATTAAAAAGAATCTTATGAAATCTTTCTCAATAAAGCAAGCTTATAATTACAAGGCTTATAATTCATACTCACTAAATGAAAAAAAGAAAAGTTCCCAAGGAACGCGACAATATAAATGGGACACTAAAGATGAAATCTTACCTATAAAGCTTTCTGGCAAATGTATGCAGTCATTATTGTTTCTAATTAATAGCTTTATTTTATGCAGCTATAAAATTAGACTTTTAATTCTGACATTTTTAAGGGCAATGTAATATAGGTTGATTAGGAAAGAGATTTTTTTTCCATTTTGGGGGAGTTTAGAGTATTTTCTTCTCAAATGTTAATGGTAAGCACTCTCACTATATCGGTGGGGTTGAGCTTGCATAAGTAAAGATGTTTGAAGGCAGTTTTCTACTGGGGCCTGTAGGGGTCAGTATTAGGCAGGGGTTTTCAGATCTTTACAACATAATTTTTATCTAATACTGCCCCTTGTTAATTACACCATGATGACTTTGTTTTCAATGCCATGGTACTGTAGGATGGATACAATGAAATTCTAAGTCTATCAGATTTTACATTACACAGATGACATCAAAATCTGTCAAGAATGTTAAAGAGAACAACAAGCGGTCATTTCAGTGAAAGTCTCTAACTCTGATTCTTCCATGATCCTCCACTTTTCCAGATCCTTCAAATATTCTTACATATGTCATGACTTCATATGGATGTTTTAGTCCTCTAACCTCTTTCCTGTCATTCCAAACCTTAACACTGTAGTCATGTCTATTTCTACAGTGAAGTATCATACTGTATCTCTGAGCAAGAAGACTGTCAAGAACCAACACTTTTTACTGTTTTTAAAGAAGTCATTGATTTGCTTGTTTTTTTTTTCTGAACGAGGAGAGTGAATGCCCACAAGCACTAAACACCTCTTAAAATCTCAACTAAAACGCAGTGCGCAGTGCACCATCAATCTCAGCTCACATTAATTTTACATGGAAAATTTCTACAATACATGTGAGATTAGTTATAAAGCAGAAAATCTGACAATTTGTAAGCAAAGACTGCTTTTCCCCCTTTTTTCAGTTGAAAATGACAAATTGTGATTAATATTTTAAAATGTACAAAACATCTCCTACATTATGTGCAATTTAAAGATTAGTCATATTACTTTTAAAATAAAGAACTTGTTCTTTAAAAACATTCCTCCTTTGTACAGCAACTGTGTTAGGTTAATGTTCACAAAGGACTCAGCCCGCAGAGATTCACAGTGTGAAATGTTTTCGTGCTTTCCACTGAAGTCTGGAAAACTGTGAAGATAAACTTATATAAGACTAAGTGGACATCTGGCTATATGACACCTAAACCAGACACTGTGGTGAAAATCTGTGGCCACTGTTATGTTCTGGAACTAATAAACCAAAAAGGTTAAAAAAATTCAATGAGTTAATAATAAAATAATGTAAACAGAAAATCAATGCTGCGTTATCATTTCATTTTTTGAAGTCTCTAATCAGTTTATTAGCTCATTCCTTTTTCTTTAGGTTAATTAATACTGGGACCTGCTGATTGCTGTCTTGGAGACTCTCCATTTAAAATGACTGACAATAAATTTGTATATTTTTGTTTCAAGAATCCTAAAATGAAACCTGCATCGAATGCCATAATTTAGTCCCAGTGGCATAGACACATCATTAGAAAAGAGGAATGAGGTTAGGGTGACTTTATAGGCTTAATGTACTGTATTACAGTGTGTGATTAGTTTAAAGAACAATGGACATTTTAATTTGCCAAGTAAACCAGCATTTTAGATAAACAGATTAATGTAAGCCAATAAACACAAACCCTTTAGATCAAAAGATCCCATGAATGGTATCACAAGCTAAAAAAAAAAACATTTTTCTCAGTGTCCATTTTCTGGTGCTGATGAGAATTTCAATGTATAATTTGAACAAAGCATTAAGTCACGCCCAAAGTAAAAAAAAATCTATAAACTTAAACATGTTTCTGCACCCAGCAGAAGAGAAAGTGAAACACCACAAAGCCTGCACTGAAATGGGACACTTACATCATTGGTGTTAACATGCCAGGCCATGTCACCATAAGATACGAGCTGGCCATTCACATAACACCGAATCTCACTGTTCCTCCAGCGGTTGTAGATGTGAACGATACTGATCATATACCACTGAAAAAGAGAGAGAGCAAAAATGAACACTAGAGAATTCAAAATAACATTGTTAATTGAACAGGTTACAGCACCAATAAGTCGACATGAGACAGTGGTAAACATTCCAAAAACAATCTAGTTTAGCTGTCACCGTGCACCCTTTGGATTTTCTTTATATCCATAACTCTTGCCTACATTTTCACCACCAATCCAAGCGCAGAACTCAAATTCAAGTTTTTGTTTCACAAGTGGTTTTAAAAATGTGTATTTTATATAAGAAAAGGAAGTGGAAGCAGCACAACAGTCTGAGTCTAGGCTGTGCTATACCATATTGGTGGGAAGAAAGAGAGCTTTGGAATGACTGGTCTTGTAAACGTCTCACCCCCACACTATATCCAGTATGTCCCCAAGGGGGAGAGATGTACGAACTGGTCCAAGATGAAGTGAGAGCAGCAGCAGAAATAAAAAGAGGGAGCAAAACAACTGGAAAAAGGCTAGAAGCTGCTCAGAGCCTCACCAAATAAAGTCAACCTGCTTATAATGTCTGGCCTAGCCCATCTAATCTGTTTTGTTGAGCTAAAATGGAGTCACCAGCTTGTGCAGTATGGCCAGGGAACGGAACACTGGAGCATACCCCCGGGAAAATGTACAAAAACAATGGCAGAGGTCATGTTGCAGGCATCATGACCAGGTCCTTAAGACCATTGCAGACACCATCTGCAAAGCGATCCGTGACCACAAGCATCCGCATCAAGCCACACAAGCCCTTGCTTTTTTAAAGCTGGACAACACCCAAAGCAAACATCAACATCTTGCAAATTCAGATGACAGTAGGCTTGGATTTGTCATTAAGGTTCCTCCATCACATCAGTAACGCTGCACTGAAACCAGACTTTATATTTGCCTCGGAGACAATGAAGCAACTCGTCATGCTGTACTGTAGCCAACAGTCCTCGCTTGAAGGAGGTGAATGAGAGGAAGAGGACTAAGCTGAGCAGCTGGGTGGTGATAGTTGCAGGCAGGGCTGCAAGACCAGGTGCAAAGGGCAAACCCCTCTACAACGCCTAAAGTATGTTGGGCTTCACAGAGTCAGGAGAAGAGCATCAGTAAGACCACCGAGGCTCCTGAGTGTCTCCATGGGTGTCGCGTCAGTGCCCCCTTAACCCAAGTCAAGTTCTGGCCAGCCTCAGCTACCTGGGCGAGGGTATCTGATGTTTAAAACCTAAAATACCCAATGACTCCAGGTTACATCACTGATGAAGCACTCCACATGGAGAGATGAATGTTATCATATTACTGTTACATCACTAAAATGGAAAAATAAAACTTAACCATAATATTCTAATGGTTGCACTGGGCCATTAATTATATTTAGAACTCGGGTTACCTTATAAGGTACGGCTTTAGAACTCAGCTCATAAACATGTCCAAAAGGAGACATGCCATTTACACTGTAAAAATACAACAAAAACGCTGGAAAGGAGAACGTTTTTTTTTCCAGATAAGTAATGTAATAGTATTTATGTAGGATTAAATCTGCAGTGTCTTGATTAAGACAACACAAAAAGCTTTCACTGAAATCAATACAATGTTCTAAAAACCGTTGACAAGCTCAGTTTCTTTTGACAGTCTTTTTCTATTTAAATTAGGAGGCACAACTACATCATAAATTCACCTTCAGGGAATTCATGTAGGTAATTCAGACAAACCCTACAGCGCACAGGGAGCATCAAAGCATTGTAAGAACCTGACCTCTTCTGACATGCAAATTCGCAGTGCAGTGATCTACTTTCTGCAATCGTAATATCCACTTCATAGGCAAAACCTTCTTAACTCGTCTGCCAGGGCCAAAACAGATAGAATCAAGAAACTGCTTCAGCTTAAGGAAGGCTGGATATATAACAGATATTAGGACTCCAGAATGTAGATTTCATACGCCGCATATATATATCTGAGCCTTTTCTTCAGCCAACGCAAAGCTGATTTGGTCGTTTTCCCATCATCCAAGAGGCAAGTGGAATGAAATGCTTAGTTTCTTTCTCTCTACACTATGCCCATCACTGCATTACGTGCAGGCCCTGACACTTTTAAAGCTGAGGCACAGCAATAAAATGTCACTTTAGAGGTGCCTCCCATTAATGGCTCCAAGGTGGCTCATCCGGTAAAAGCCTGCTCTTGAAATTGCGAGATCAGTTCTGCAGCTCATAGGTCACTGGGTTAAATTCCAGCCCTGCCACTCAAAGGCAGTGGTCAGGAGTTGCAAGTGGCAATGCATGATTGGCACAAAGCTGTCATGATCGGGTGGGTCATAAGTAGGACTGAGCATTTTTTAGTGAGAGCTGTGCATGTAGTCCTTTAGACAGCTGCTTGTATTACAGAGCTGCCGCATTAAAAAAAGAGGATGGCATAGTACTGCCTGTATCTGAAGCAGTGCTCAAGTTGTAAGAGCACAGCAATGGAATAAGTACTGTGGTATGGGGTGGATGACGTGAACTTTGGGCAAGGGGATGGTCATCCTTTCAGTCACTGTTCCTTCTTGAAGTAACTAACACCCTGAGCTTGGCTGGTGCTTCCCGAAGAAGTTACCATTGGGCCAGTGGGAAAGCCTCAGGAAATTGTGGAAAGATACTCTTTGTAGCTGTTTTAACCAAGAAAACATCTATTTACCAAAAGGACCACATTTTTAACAGTGTTCCCCCCTTAATTCAAACTAACCTATCAAGGAGTGCAAGTTTGCTCTCTTTTTCTGAGCTGACCTGGGAGTTTTGCTGAATAACAATAGCCTGTCCCAGATGCAGAGAATTAAAAACACATACTTCATTGCGAGTGGTACATACAGTACATCTAAGGGTAGATTTTCATACTGTAGCTATCATATTATGTCTGTATACTCTACCTGTCACTTCTTTTGATAGTAGGCAATCGCAATAAAAGGCTCCACTTTTAATGTCAGTTTCTCTACTTTTATGTTAAAATGAACACAATTTACATTTATTTTATAATAAAAAACAGTTTACATAATAGTTTAATGAAATTAGTGCTTATTAGTTTTTAGAAGTGATCCTTCTGAACCAAAAAAATACAATCTTTATTTAGATTCACAAAGGTACAAAACTTGATTTCATAAACACTTTGTCCTCCATTCTGCATTAAAATTACCCATCAAAGTCCGCAGTGAAGAAAATCGGATAACATGATCCTGAAAGGGAGTGAATGATTTGTGTAGTAGAGATACAGAGAAAATGGTAAACCTCACACTTAAAATGTTCACTCTTAAACATTTACAATATGCATCTCTTGATGAATAATTTGATTTACTGTTATTATTACTACTACTAATAATAATAATTAACTTTAATATGTGAAGTGCAAACTAAATACAGAACACTAAGTTGCCTACTGCCAATATGTATACATTTTATTTCCTCTAATGTTATTGTTCATAAAATTAAATGTGGAAATCATATAAATATTCTTGATGAGTCTTTATATGAGAATTCCTCATCAACTTAATTAATATTGAGTCAACGAATGATAAAGAAAGACCTTGAACTAAACATTCTTACAGAACTCGAGACTTCAGTCTTGGAGAATGTCAGGCTATTCGCGAGAAACCAGCTTTAGGTTTCCACGACCCCTGCTTATCTGGCAGGACCAGGTGGAATTCTGTCTCCAGCCTGATAAGACAAGATGAAACCCAAGCCAGGAGAGCAGTGAGAAGAGTGAGGAGCATTGGGGAAACAGTTTGAGGGAAAGCAGGAATAACAAAGCAATTTTCATCTGCTACACAAAGACCTCCGTCTGTGGCCAGGGGAAATGGAACACACAGAATAAGATCTCAACCTTGGGCAAGTCAGTCCCCAAGGCAAGCTTCCAGCCAAACAAAGGAACACAAAAAGGGCTCAACAGATAAGAAGGCAATCTCTCGTGACTGCAGCTGGAGCTTGAACCGGAGGCGTAGTGATCTAGGCATTGCGAGAGAGCTTCCCTCAGGAGATCTGCTTGCAAGCAACAGCTTGGCGGAATGAATCCCATACGGACAACACTTGTTAATTTATGGAAGTTTAAACCAAAAGCTAAAAGAAAAACAGAAAAACGTTGCATTCATTTAGTCTCTGAATGCACGGGATATCAGGGCATTGTATTCTGTTATTATTGCTCCATTTCACCCACATCAAGCAGTCGTGCCACAGTAGAGCCAGCAACCACCATGCCTCCTTGGGAGGAGCAGAATTAAACTTACAAGGCTATTTAAAAAGAAAGTTTTCCCAGATGTATTCGTCTCAACTACTACAATATATCTGGAACCCCTTTCTGGTTTGCTTTTCAGTAATCAAACCTCAAAAGCTCTGTTGTGATCCGCCATTTAGGAAGGGCTTTTTCTAAGATATGACCTAGTTTACATGTGGCTCTCCATTCAAATAGCTGAAATGCTGAGATGGAAGATTCTCTTGCATATTAAAATCTGCAGCTGTTAATGTGTACTTTTGATGTGTACTTTTGAGAGGATAATAAACATACTGTATATGTATATGAGTGCCTCATTAACTTAATTAATATTGTTTTAGTGTTTACAGCAACGCAATTACGAACTGAAAACTGCAATCAGTCTTTACATGAAATGAACAATTATTCCTCATTACCATCCAATGACAGCAAATTAAAATATATACTGAACAACAGGGTATGCCATACATCCTGACCAGACACTGCACTCATATAATGTTCTTTAACCGCAAGGCCACACAATAATAACCAATATAATTGGCTATCAGGTTGAAATAAATTACACCTTTAATCCTCATGCAGTTATGCCAGACATTACTTTCCTGAGGAGAAATGAACACAGAGTCCCAGGTAGGTGGGTGAACAATGTAAGCAACAGCCACATCTTGAGCCAGTTATTCCTTTAGTGGGACTCTTGAATGGGTATGATATTCAGGTACTGGGCGCCAAATTAATTTTCATTCCTATTCTAGGGCTGCATGTAATTGCGCTAGAAGATTCACTGGGGGCTGTCATCTAAAGTGGTGTTTTTGTTCTACTTCAAATGCGTTACCTTGCAATTGGCAGCTTAAGCAACAATTCTTCTGGCACCAAACTGAAGTAGAACTGTTTTTTTGCTCAGCAAAGCCAAAGCAAGACAACTAATGGATCAGATCTTAACCTATAAATAACATAGCAGGTGGTTAAGAAAGAGGGCAGAACAACAGACAGCTCCACCAACCACCTCAGCATGTTATTTCCATCCATGGAGCATTCTGAAGGAGACGACAAGTCTGCATCTGCTTCCTTTCACTGAAGATTATGAAATCTGTTCAAGCATGAAGCCCGGATTATTAGTAATGACCTTCACTCTGTAAATTTAGACACACAATAATAAGACACGACATCAGAAATGTGGCAAAGAAGACATAACGGCTTATTTAAGGAAACAAGTTATGGTGGCCTAGGAGGAGAACTGATGGTTGCTTTAATTTTCAGCCTAGAAAAGCTGTTAGCGGAGGTTTAACCTGCTCTGCCAGGTTAATTACTTGAAATGTTGAAAGCAAAATATGAGGAATTTTTACACAGATGCCCATCACTCCTGTCATTGATATATGATGTTGATAAACAGTATACCACCTACTGTATTGTCACATAAATCTGCTTCAAACCACTATAATGGAAAATTCTAATTTCTCCTCAAATAGCATTACAAAACACAGCAGATGTGACACAGACTATGCTTTATATTAGTTATATCTGCCTGATACTCCTAAAAAGAAGTGATATATACAGTAACTCTCCAATCAGCCATATGCGATACTAAAATAGTACTTTAATCTTTAAAAGCTACAGTAATTGGGCAGTCTGAGAGTATGACATGCCTTATCTGTTTGGATTTCTTTAAACCACAAAGTTAAATGGCATTGTCATTGTTGACAAAATGTCATCTTCAAACAGACATTAACCAAACTAAAACGAATGTCACACTAAGTACACCTGTACATACCTATAGTAGCTCTCATGCTATGATTGGCATTTGTAATTATCATCAGCGGTATATGGCAGTATTTAAAAATTATAGGAAAGAAAGAAGAATGAAAAAGAGAAGAGGTATAATGCAGATTCTGTTTGCCATTATAGAAATAAAAGACCCAGATACATGGGGAACTGCTGACATACTGTAGTAAAAAACAGAAAAACAGTGCTCCAGCCCACTGCAAGAATGGCAGGGTTTTTTTTAATGCCAATATTAGACTATTACTATTTTTGATTCTTGTACATATTTCTGGTGTTTTTAGGAAAACGCTAGAAATCACTGGACATTTACTGTGCTCATTTGTAATAAAAAAGCATTACATTTTTTTTAATATGACAGTATGTTCAAGTACACCCTCAAGGCATTTTACAAAAGATTTAGTTTATATTCACTTATCCAAAACATAACCAGAAATAAAGGAAAATGAAAGTGAAATGTTCCATGTCAATTTGCTTAGCATACAAGCCCATTCAAACCACACATTTGACTGTACAGTACATACAGTAGCTTCCTTCTGGATACAATGAAACAATCTGCGCTGGGTTCTACTGAAATACGGCATTTACCTTTCGAGGCTGAAAGTCATATTTTACACAGTGCTGGAATCCTTTGCCTTTTGATTTCAGGGACGTCACTATCAAGCAATTGCCAACAAAGTGTGCCGAGTACCCAATGCCTTTGCTAGTGCGAAAGCTGAAAAACAAACAGCAGCAATGAAAATTAGATGATACTCAGTTATACGACCATAGGGAAAAACAAAATATTTAAGAATTGTCAATAAAAGTGGTGAAAGCTTGAGGAAAAAGATACATTCTTTATTTTATTACAGACATTTTTCATACTCGGATAAAAACCTTGAGACCTTGACAAAGCAGAAGGCATATTACCCATTTTATATTTTCACCAACCTACATGTACCTTGAGCCAGGAACCCCTATATTTTATAAACCCGTTTTATTGTTATACTGTATCCGTGTGCTCCTCAAGTCCTTAACACCAGAATTAACACCACACCAAGTCTGTAACACGCTACAGAACATAAAACCAGCAAAAGTATTAGCAATATTTGTTTCTCATCCAGAGTTTTGATTGTTTAAAATTGTGTTCTTTTTTTAAGTACACAAAACTAAAAATGATGTTTCCTGCACATCCAATAATACTTTTATAAAGCAACAGAATGGTGTTGGTATTAAAAGAAAAAACTCTAGGCCTGATTTCCTTTCCCCTGATTGCCTGTTTTTAAGAGAAGTGAGCAATAACAAATAGGAAAAATGCGAAAAGTTATTTTGTAAACAATAATTAAAGGTTTAAAAGCCAAAAACTCTACATGTACTTTTCAGATTCAGATTTCCTCCTGGATATGCACTACATTAAATTGTGGGACTAATAATAATAATAATAATAATAATAATAAACTTTATTTTATATAGTCCCTTTAATGGTGGCTTCTCAAACCGCTTAAAAAAACGATGCAAGTGGAAGTCGCATTTGTAAATTTGTAACGTGGAGCGGATAACGCGAAGCGGATGGAAATAGATAAATTAGAAATCAGTGTCACAGAGAAGAGAAAGGAATAAAAAAACATAAATAAGTAGATAAAAATGAAAAACTGGTGAGAGGAGCGGCAGCCAAACGCACCAGCGTTCCCTCTTGACTGGAACCGGAAATCGAAGGAAGCTGGTACAGTACCTTAGCACAGAAGTCCATGTGCTGTAAGTCTGTTTATGGTTATAATGTTGAACTATTTAAAAAAAACTGTAAATATGCTGTGAGGAGGTTTCGTTAAGTAAACCAACCAGTGTGTAGCACAATGCTCTAAAACATACTGAAGCCTCTGTAACCTTAATTTACTCCCCTAGTTCTGTTTGGCTAATTTGCCCTTCTTCAAAACCCCCAAAAAAGCAGAAATAAAAGAAAAACATACAGAACACATAAATCATAACTGCCTGGACTCTGACATTGTATTGAGGATAAAAATATATACATAAGTGCTTTTGGAAAAATCTAAAGCACCAAAAATAAGATGAACAAGATGGTGCAGGCCTTGAGCCATAACTCTCGGCAATTTTCTTTGCCCGGTGACATTTGTAGAAGTGACAAACGTAAGGCACTTAAAGATGGCTGGGACGTACGTTCTTTTTTTAGAAATCTAACAGACTTGTAATTCGCATCAGGCACAGGGAGGCAGCAAATCATTTCTTCATCACACTCCCCGTCCTATCCTGGCCGGCACACATTTCTTCTCCAGCGTTATACCACTGCCGTGTCCCTTACAAGCCTCCCTGATAAATGACAGCAGCTGCCTGCATCAGCCACACTGCCGGGGAGCATATGGCAATTTTTCTAATTTAGCGCGCGTGTTCTCTCAGGGCTTGAAGGATCCACTCGACCAATTACGCGTACATCTCATTTCTATGGTTTATAAACAAAATTTCTCTCTTTTTTTTTGGGTTAATCTTTCCGCGCTGTACTTCTGACCGCATTGCTGCTGCAGGCCGGTGAGTAGGGAGGAGTAAATGATGTGAAGTGCCAGGCACAGAAGCATGAAATCAGCCAGCTCGCACTGATACCAGGGGACCTGCCAGGGAATGATTAGATTCCATATTTACATGGCCAACAGAGCCTGTCCCATATACAGTAAGGACGCCGCAGTCAATTCAATTCTGATGGCTTCTTCCTTTTCAATCAACAGACTGCATGCCAGCGGCACAAAGGGATTACAAATAAAATCTGAAAGGCTGATGTATGGTACTTTTTTTGATAGTGCCAGCAAGTGTTTTAAAATATGTAAATGAAAGTTGCTTCTTCTTGCTGCCCCCAGTTTTTTGTAACTGACAAGAAATGTAAAAACAGAGCGCTTCTGTATCACATCAAAAACCATTCGTCAATTAAACAGCAATGTTTGCTCAATTTCTCAACACACACACAAAAAAATCATCCTTCTGCATGAACAGCTCAACTCAATTAACCCCATCTACCAAACACTTATTTGTTTGTTGGCTTCATTTTGGGAGTTTGTTCCACTTTATCTCTGCGCGTGTGTTACTTGCGTTTACTGTTTTTTAATCAAATTCCTTTTCATTCAGCACATTTGTTTTGCTGTTTTTTTCCCCCTCAAAAGTGTTTCCAAGTATGGAATACTTGATAAATTAACGCATTGTATTCCTGTGTTAGTGACATTAAAGGTATATTGATCTATAACATAAACCTTCAAATATTAAGACTAACCAGTGTAATATTGTACTTATATATGTACAGCCTATACTTTGCTATTTGCTTTATCATGTTCTGAAACAATCTTTAAACAAAACTATGAATTTAAGTGCTTTCACTATGAGTAAAATTACTCTTACTCAAAATTATGCACAGTCAATAAATGACGTCACCAGAGTGCTCTAAGTACAGCATAATTCATTTTGTTTCTTTTCAAGCTATTCTCTAACATCCCTTATTGATGCACAAAGGGGTGGCAGTCGATAAACAGTCAACTGTGAGGTTATTGATTTGAAGACTAATTACCACAAGCTCTGAAATAAGACTTTAATTTTGTTCAAAGAAATTAAAAAGTAACTTTTTTATTTGTTACTACATTGAGCTCCTACTGCAGTCTTGTGTGCCTCGCCCACATGGCATTTTTATCATTTAAAAGCTGTTGTTGAATCTAACACCGTTCTTATTCCCTTAGTACAATTTAGCAACCATGTTTCAGGAAACCCCTTAAAGAAACTTTGTTTAAATCATGGAATAGCTACAGCTTCAACAATAAAGCTATAAATAATGAAATTCAGCTACTAAAGATAATCCCCTCACTAAGGTAAACAAGGTCAATTTCTGCAGTAGTTAAAAGATGTTAAGAATCAAAAATAAGAAAACTGTGCACATATAAAAAAAGGATATATCTTGTTTTGTGGTTGGTACAGAGTCTTCAAGGACCATTGATGTACTGTATTGTTACAATTGCACTAGATTCCTAATCCTGTTTCCAGTTGTAAGAACAACAGTTGTATTCTGTAAATATTATGAGGATATACAGTACATGTATACAAATCTTTTGGCAAGGTACAAACTGTACTTCACACTCCATTCCTAAAATATTCTAGCAGTTTTACCTTATAAAAAGGATACTCAGGTTTAGACCTTAAAAAACTTTCAAACATCTGTCTCAAGTGCAAAATTGGATTTTATCCAAATAAAACTAAGCTAAAACTCTTATAACCTGCACATTTCTTTCTCTTTTTTTGAGTGTGGATTTGTGTTGTGGATTTTCTGAAAAGCAAATCTCAGTATGAATATTTAATTAAATTAAACATGAAAGATCAGATTTAATAAGGATTTGCAAGACATACAGAAGCATTTCAAACATTATACACTGCTGATTCCTCCATTCTCTCTCATGATGGCTTGACATTTTAATGTGTATGAAGTATATATACAGTATATTTTAGATGAATTTTTAGGCTTATTAGACTTGGTATACAAGGCACGTCATCATTTAATTTCACCTAATCTAAGTATATATAATTACTGCTGTTATGCAATATCTTAAATACTTGTGCTTACCAGTAAAGATATGGTTTATCCTTGTCTACATTAATATTATTCAGAGGATCCATTCGGAACCAGGTGTTGAGAGTAAATCCATTTTGGTAAGGCCACTTAGCAATTGGAGGTAACGCAATGGCCTGGAATAAGAAACAGATAAAACACATTATATAATAACAAAATTATTCCAAGAAGATATATTAAAAATGTATTAAAAAAACTCATGGAGGTGCCCAACACATTCATTTGTGTGGCTCAAAAGGTCTACAAATTGAAAAAAACTAAAGATTTATTACAATAATACGTATGTCTATAAAATTAAATGTGCTCTCAGTATAAGCATGTACTAGGTCTTATAGACACTCACAAAAATCCATAAGGCAGACTTAATTTAAAGTGCTATTAAACTTTTTTAGCATTATTGAGAGCTGAAATAATAAAACCACATTGGTGTACAGTTACTGTAGCTTCACACATATTTATGCTTGCAAATGAATAATATTACATTTTAAAAAATCAGGCAGAGATTGCATGAAGAAAGCACTCTTTTGGTCACACTAAGTAAATCAGTGATTCATATAAAACAACAATGTTCATGCCTCTGTGAATATGAATTATAGGATTAGCAAACTAAATTGTGTTTACTTGAGCTCTTTAATCACACCTTCTCTTATTGCAATTTACCCCAGATAACCATGCATGGTATTTCTGCAGTTTTCCCAAGATTGTGCTAAGATAACTTTGCTTTGCCACACTGTAGTTTCCCATGGATTGTATCATGATTTGTCACACAATTATTTACCGTAACTTTACCATGCTTTTACTGTTCCTTATTATATTAATATGCCATATTAAGCATTTACTGTTTGCAGTTTAGGAGTAGAACTTGACACTTACTGCTGCACTGCGTCCTGGGAAGTTGAAAAATGTGTCCGGGCCATGTCTCTGTGGCATCTGATTCAAAACTGACAGCAATTTGACTGCATGTCTGGGCTAAGGAGGTGAGGAGAGAAACAATAAGACATAGTCTGTCAGAGGGGTAAAGACACAGAAAGAATGAACACCCCACAGTCCCAGAAATATAAAGGCTTCGCAATACAAAATACTCACCACAGTTGCCAAATCGATACTCCATCAATTACCTCCTGCACCTCAACGCAGCAGATCAATTACCAGGCAACCCCCCAAACAAATATCTCCTTATGGGTCCCCAGAGATCATTTGTCTAAGACCTAATGCTTCATTGAAGCACTAATGCATTGAACTACGCTGACACCTGAAACTGTATTTTCCCTAACCACTGCTTACCCAGATTCCATTCTCTCCACGCAGCATGCTGAACAGAAGCTTCAGCTCCTTGACTGTAATGCTGTAGCTGGCCAGAACTCCCAACATATCCACCAGGAGATCTGAAAGACCGCAACAAAAAATAGATCTAAACAACTCTCCTTCTCCTTGCTCTTCTCGGGTTTCTTCCACATCTTTCAAGGAGCTTGTTTTTGAGGCCCTTCGCAATTTTATCTCGCCATGCGGAAGAGCATTATCTCACTCAGAGACAGAGAGACTAACCAAAACATACGGTATTTAACAGTCCCTCTGAAAAATTCATCCTGGGGACAAAAAGCGATTTTGTGCCGGAAAAGGGTTATCGACTTCTTCCAGCAAACAAATAAAATTTACAAATCTTCAAAACAAAAAAAATACTAAGAATGTAAGAAGAAATAACCTTAAAAAAGTAATGTACTAAATTCACAATATGAAGACAACAGGGTTAATGCTAATACTATGGATCAGACATTGGAGGAGATGTAATCATAAAGTGTATTGTCAGAACTAACTGGGTTTTTTTTAGCTTTGTTTTACTGAAATGTTATTGTTTAGATATTAGGAATCAACAGTATGGCACTCCTGAGCCTCTCAATAAGGGAAGTCCCTTGTTCAGAGTGTAAGTGGAGCCCTACATTACCGATGTCAAGGAGATCAGATCTGGGCTATGGTATTAGCCAACTCTAATCCCTAACAAGATGCAGGGTGGCCCCATACTCCCGTGGAACAACAATCTCTAACTTCCTGGGTGCACTCGACCTTGGATGTATTTCTAGGGAGAGCTGCAGTCCTTCTCTAATTGAAGGTACCTCTTATCCAATCTGTTGGAGAAGTCTGCTGGGCTGGTACGTGTGAAAAACAGCACGTGCCTTCAACCAGTCAAGGTTGTACAAGGATTGTAGCTGTGAAAGAGATCACTAATTGACCATTCCAGAACAGGGAGGGAAGGTAGTAGGGGGAGTGCAAAATATTAAAGCAATCGCCAATTCATTTCTTTCTGAAAGAAAATCGATAGCCTTAATAGGAAAATAGAAAAATAGAACATCTGCATACCCATGAGGCGATCATCCAATCTGTCATTATGACAAAAATTTCAGAATACTTAAATTCACTTTGTAGAGTTCATCCTTTATTTCTAAAGTCTTATCTTTATCCAAAATGCATTCTGGTGCTAAAGTGCTAAAATATTGAAGATATCATGTAGAACCATAATCTACGAAGACAAAGTAATCTCCATTTATCAGTCGATCGGTTATTTTTTTGATACATGTGATTTACATGAAAAAGCTTATTAGGGAAGTTTTACGCACAGTATGACAATGTCTTTATTTTATGGCTCATCATCATTTATTAAAAAAACAGATCTACCATGAACATCCAATGAGCCAAGGTCACAAGCAATTGCAGTCATAATGCTGGCACCACAATATGAGGAGCATGGAGAAGTAATGTATAGTAAAAGCAGACTGCGCTTGAAACTTTGCATGAAATACAAAAAAGCACACAATGCAGAGGAAAAAAATCCTATTACTGTCATTGCTGAACAGAGCACAAATCATAATATGCTTTATGTGAAACAATACACCTTGAATAAGATTTCTTTTAATCCATCTCTTTTCACATTGATAAACCTGAATAATTTCATGCATCTGACCATGAAGCTGAGCCTTTGTTTTTTCGTCAACAAAGTAAATAAATAAATTATTACTTTTTAAACCTTTTTAAAACTTGTGAAGCAGGATTCTGAAAACAGAAACAGGGATATCAGAGATATAGTCTGGATTATGAGTGCTGACAGTACAGTGGTACAGTGTGCCTAGAATGAAGACACTTGCTGAATACAAAAATCTGTTAGATGTGGAAAAAAAAGCAAAATAATGCTTGCTGTTACTAACTATTTATGACTGCCACAACAGAGAACCACCACACTCATTCTTACCTGCTATCATGTCATCCACTGTGCTCATTTTCAGTAGCACCTGCTCGATCAGGCCCACCTCAGTGCTGGTCTGCAGGTTGCGGACACTTTTCCTCAAGATAGCGGTGAACATGCTCCAGATCTCGGCCTGGCATGTCACGTCACAGTGCTCCAGCAGCTCCACCATGCAAGCGATGCTCTCTGCATCCTGGATGATGAAATTCATCTCCAGGTCAAACTCACCACCCACCAGCTGCAGAAGAAGAGAGAGAGATTGATTTACTAGGATGCACAAGTCTTCAGAAAAACAGATCACCTTCTTGATTAATGCAGTTAAGACCGCATGAACGTAATGCTGTCGCGATTCAAGTGTGGCTTTTGTAATGGCTAATGTTAATGTTAACCAGTTAACAGGGAAAGGGCATACAAGTTCTTTAAAATGCTATCCTATGAAACAAGAGGTATCATAGCCCTCTGCTCAGAACCAACATATAGGTTGTACAATAACTTCATCACAGGACTAAAGTAGTCTTTAGAAAAATAGGCAGAATTTTTTAACAAGTTCCTGTACAGTAGAAAAAGACAATTGCTTCCTTATTACATCAAATCAAACACAGCAGGATTGCTTTTCATCGATTTAAAGCAGTAAGTACAAAGCTTCATTATAACAATGAACTGTCATCTTCTCATTGAGTAGCCCACATAAAACCTAGTCTAAACTCCTTTATACTACACTACCCAGTGTAACACCGACAGAGACTGAAAAACAACACAGACAAGCCATAAAGGTCAACACTGAATTTCCACTGCAAAATCAAAATTTTCTCTCCTGTTCTTTTTCATGTTGATGACCTTCACTGTCTCCAAAGTACCTATTAGTAAAAACATGGCTCCTCAGGCCCTTTCCTAGTGTCAGGGTTCCTACTGTATATCAAGTCTGAAGTGATGGGGATGTCACTCAAAAGAAATCTGGGAGAGCTAATGGAGGGGTGTAACCTGTCAGGATTCCAGGATTCAATAACAATTAGTCTCGCTTCTGCGGCTCCATTTTTTAAATTAACACTGTGTTCTTACCCAAACTACAATTTCCCCACAGGATCATTCTTCACCACCAAGTCAAATATTTTATTCCCTAGTAAATGTATCCAGAATAGACACTGCAGGTGAGCATGATGAAAAGTAAACGTTTTTCAATTTTTACATCAAAAGCAAAAGGGGGTTCAGATGCATAAGATTTCTTTGTTATGGAGACATAAATGTTAACACAATCAATTCTTCTACAGCTTAAGCTCCATGAGCATGAAACAAGCTCTTCTACTTACAGGTGTACACCACTGCATTTGATGAATTAAAGAACACCAATAGTAATTTATCATGTGATCCTTAAATTGCCATTTGCTATCTGTAAGCTGGGACACAGCTTAAGGCTAAGGGACAAAAAGCTAGAACCATCTCATGACTTAGCACCTTGTCATTAGCCATAGTCACTAAAATATCACTACATCTGAAAATCTGACAGCATGGCCCATCTGGAAAGAACAAATGAACTCAATTAAAATCCTTACCCTCCTGTAGTGACTGTCACTTTTAAATTCCAGCATTTTCACAGGTACAAGGTGTCTGGCAATATTGTTTCATTTTCCACTATTACAGTTGTGTGTGTTTACGCTATGTGAATATCCAATCAAAGCTCTGTTCGATCAAAATGAGATTTACTAGCTTTTTAACAATTTTTTTTTCTGGTTTCTTAAACTGAACGACAGGCTCATCCGATGAAATATTAAATTATAATAGATATAGTAACAACTGGCAGGTTTACCAATACCTATATTATTTTAAAAAAATCTGTTGTTTGTAAGCAACAGCATGCAGAATAAGAGTTTTCTGATACAGTACACCATTATAGCTACATTTACCAGCAATATAATAGTGACGTAATACAGTATATACTGTAGTCTGAGCAATACAACACTACAGAAATATATTCTGAGCATGTGTGTCAGCTTGTCTTGAATGAAAATGGTGTTCTGTAGAATCCTTCGGCAATAATGCAGTGAATGGGAAGTACAGACCACAGCGCAGATCACTGGTCAGGAATTAGTGCTGTCAGTCAGAATGGCCCTGAGGTCACCACCAGACCAAGTGTGCAATTCAGTAAAACAACAAAAGCTATACTTCATTGTGCATTACCCTGCCTCTGCACATACTTTCCCAAGAGTAACTACAAGCAACGTGTGTACAAAATAAGACATAACTGTCTATTTCTTCATTTTTTAAAAGAGTTACAAAGGAAGAACATACCAGTCTTAAATAAAAGGCTGGAGAAAGAAAAGACCAAGCTACTGGTCCCCTCAGAACTCACCATACACTAAATGATTCAACCATCCTGCAGAACTGAGTAAATACATTTCAGCTAAGTCATCCCTTAGGTGTATTTCACTAGGAATAACAGATTAATCACTTATGGCCTGGGCTCATAATTCCTTACTTTAGAATTTGTGGTCTTTCTTTTTTTCTAAGGCATTTGTACATTACAATGTTGTGTCTACTACAGTATGCTCTACAATTAAGCTGAAGTCTAATTAGAGAATTATTTAGTGACCATCTTGATAGACATATAGTCTATTTTTTGTCCATCTCATTGAGTATCCCACTTGGTATTTTTGCTTAGTGAAGCTAATTACCTAGAAGTCAGAATATGTTTTCCAGAAACCACAAAGAACATCAGCTTAAACTGTTTATTTTAGAAGTCAATTAACAGACAAATGAAAGAGTACTGTATATTCTGAAATCCACAGCAATTAAAACTAGCAATGAAAATACTCTATATAATACTTCATCAATGTCTGGATAGACAAGAATTACACTGCAGAAAGTACTGTAACGAGTTTGTTATTTCAAAGAAAACAAATTACTAGAAAAGAAAACATTCAGCTACATCTGTCATAGCAGAACTGTCCAGCTTTGTCCAATGTGGGAAGAAGTGTAAGAGTCTCTATCGGGGAAAGAGGGCAAAGCTAACAAGCTGTTGAAACACTTGAACTCTGGCTTGAATCACTCAAGAGCATGTTAGAGCTGTTTTGTACATACTGTCACGTAACAGAATGCTTGTTAACAAGATGTTTCCAAAAATATTGGTTGCTAATGAAAAACCAAAGTGAATACGGAGTTTAGTTCCTAAAAACACTACAGCATAACTCGCATCTAATGCTTCAATCCACCTTTATCAAGACCACAGTACTTTACCTATAAAAAGATCAGTCACTTTTACAATGACAAACATATTGTAAATATACAGTACACCACAGTATTTTAAAAAAGGTCTTTGCTATAATGCTTAATGACATCCAGGTAAACTGGCATGCTCCACTGAAATGACCAAGCCCAATCAATGTTTTTGAAAGCGACAGAAGAAGTAATTACAAAATAATATGATAAAATGGCTGTTTCATGAAATGCAAACTAGATTTTAAGAGCTCTGGTTACTGTTGTACCAAATCCAAAAGAAACACTTCTTAAAATTGGAATGGCATCACACAAGGAGCTGTCAGATGTGTTTTCAGATCTGATGCAGCCAAATGCTGCTGACCCAGTTTTATGAACATTCACTTCTCCAATCTTACGTTTTATACTTTCATAATCTGTCTAGCCTGTTATATGTCCCAGGAAACTGCTCATGTCAAGTCATATCATCATTTGGATTCTCTGGTATTATCCCCAAGCTACAATACATTCTATCATTGCCCACTGAACTCCAAGTGTCCATTTAGTCCTATTCCACACACCTAATTCTTATCCTCCAGAACAGATTTACTGTATAGTCTGATCCAGCCCACAGGTTTACAGATTATCAGTGTCACTAATTGATACGTCACTGTATTCCAAGTGATCCATCAAACAGTGATTCACTCACCACATTATTACAGTGTTGTGCCTGGCCCTCCTTGATTCACTCTTCTTTGCTTTATACAGTATACTGTAGAAACCATTAAGCATGAGCAATGCAGAGCTATTTCTATTTTTCAGCCTCACCTTAAAAATGTGCAACAGGCTTAGTTTTGCTGGCCTTTTCCATTGAACCACTTGACAAACTGAAAATTAGTTGATTTTTTTATTCTTGAAAATCGGAAAATGATTCAACTTTCCTCATATTTAAGATTTGAATTTTAGTTTAAAGAACAGCAGTAATATTACAGCATTTGATCCAGAGAGAGTTCTAAATTCACACCAGGTTTTATATTAAGATTAAGTTATCCACTCTGAGAGTATTTCAAGTTACAGTTACATTCACCCAAATGAGTAACTACACACTAATAGAAAGTCTTGCAGCTCAATAGATCTGAAATTCCTTATGACAGAAATAGAAGTTTCTCAAAATGCTGTATGTTTAAGAATTAAGAGTAAAGATCCACACTTCAGGGTAAATCTGCAGAGCTCATGATTAGAGTGTTAAAGAAAACACTTTTGCTAAACAAAATTGCTCCTCAGTAAACTAATTAGAATTAAGCAAATGCACATCTTGAAAATATTGAGTCTGAAAGAGAACTTCCACTCCTTTAGACTATTGATTGTACACTTGACAGTCAATATTTTAATGCAAGAGTCTATCTACTGTAAGATTTCATTCATAACCACTTACAAAAAACATTTTGTGCAGTAACGTCCTTTAAGGTTTAGCACGATGTATGTTATCTTTTTCTGTCTACAATATACAGTATGACACGCACATACAATGTGTGCTGTCAGAACTTGGATATGAATGTCCATTTCAGGCGGTTCGCCACACCAATCCACATACTGTAGGAATCTACTCTTTAGTTCAGCTTTGAGCTATGGTAAGATGGAAAACCATTGAGAAACTTGGGAATGACATCACTATAACAGTGCTCTGTAAATCCTGTTGAACTCTCCTCCCAGCTCAACCTCCATAACTGACAAGCGACCTCATTAACCTGAGTCACTGATACCACGTGTAACAACCTCAGGTTCGAACCCTCATCACAGGTATACCTCAGAAAAGCCATTTCACATCATATACGAAAATATTAATATTCATTTATACATTAAACTAGGTGTTATAAACTCAGTAAGCAGACCTGTACAACCTTGACGCACAGAACTTAATCAACCTACTGCATTTCCTCTCTTCTCAGGATGAAAATCACACTGACCAGAAGCCATAACAGACCATGCTAGAGAAAAGAAAGGAAACAAACACAAAACACATAATGCACAACCACCAAGAAATAAGGC